ATTGAATAAGTCCATATGATTCATCGCCTAATCCGCTTTCTAATGTATTTTCTGTTGACGTCTACTTTTTGTTATCGCTTCGTTCTGGGATTAAATTACCCATACTGCTGTTTCATGTTTCTGGATCGTCTTTATTCAACCAATCAATGTATTCTGAATTTATTATATGTTTTTAAATAATACTATTAATTCCTCTGATTTCTGTTGTATATATATATATATAAATAATTCCTTCCGGGTCCCAACCGAGACCACGTGTTAGAATTGGCAGCATAGCATCTTTCACTGGTATTATTTGTAAAAAATAACAACAACATAAGATCATTTATATTTTACATAGATAAAGCTCTTCCTACTCTGTGAGCTGTACATGTGAGTACAGTATTTCTATTTCTTAACATCATAGACAATCAGTAAACCCTTCAATGAATCTACAGGATCTTTTCCCAAACAATCCGATGGCTCCAGCTTGGCTGGAATTATTGATGCTCCCATGGTCATCATTTTTAAGATTCTTGTATTATGAGGTTTTTGAAGGTTTTAAAATTACATTACAATCTTCAGGAGCTGTAATGCAAATTAGAAAATGCATCCTGTTTTTCTTATCTTTGATTACGATGGCTGGTGCATTAGTTTGATTGTTCTCTCTGTGTATATTTTAAAATCCCATAAAATTGTTGTAGATTGTATATCTGTAACTGAGTCAAGGTGAAGTCCATACCAATTTCTTGCAGTTTCCTTCACGTAAACTTTGAATATTTCCCACTGCATATATTGACCCATTTTATGTTTAGTGGTTGCTCATATTGTGCAACTTGACACAAGGTGGCCAGTTGTTCCTGAATATTTATCACAGACTCTCCATTGAGTGCTGACACAATGTTTCATTATGTGTACTTTGTAATTTCTAATTAGCAAGCATTGGTCCTGTTTACCAAAGATAAAGCCTTCGGTTTCAGCATTTAGCTATGAATTACTTAACAAATGAAGGGTAGAGGGTTTGTCTACATCAGCTTGTTTGGTCAGTGCAAATAATTGACCTTTAAGAGGATTATCTTCCCATCGTTTCCGCGTTTCGTACATTAGTAATTTTGTGTTACACATTAGTCAATTGAAATTCTGTTTCTTAGGTATGGTGTCGACAATACTACTGAACCCATTACTACATATTTTTCTTCATTTCCTTGCCAGATGATTTTTTGTATATTTTTATTATTATTATTATTATTATTATTTCATTTGATTTCTGGCGTTTACACATTTCTTTCTGGGTCCCGCCCAGGGACCTAAGGTGAGAAATGGCATCAAGGCACTTTCCACTGACAAAAAAAAATTACATAGATAAAGCCCTTCGTAAAGTGTGGGCTGTACTTGTCAGAACAATTTTTTGTATCTCCTTGAGGCATGGGCTTCCAGGAATCCCTTCAATTAGTCTACTGCAATCTTTTTCAACCAGTCCTAGGGCTCCAACTACAACAGGGGTTGTTGATGTTCCCATATGCCACATTTTCGAGATTTCTATTTCCATGTCCTGGTATTTTGACAGCTTTTTGAATATCTTCAAAGATACATTGCAGTCAGCAGGGACTGCCATATCAATAAGAAGGCACTTTTTTGTTTGTGGTCTTTAATAACAATTTATTATTATTATTATTATTATTATTATTATTATTATTATTATTTCAATTCACCCAACTCAATTCTAATATTTTTCCGACTTTCAGTATGTACGCTAATTATTTGTAGGCTAACGTTCCAAACATATGGTTATGGAGTGCATTTTAACATGCGCGATTTTTCTTCATAACGCATGCCAATAGAGGCGATCACATTTTCGATAGTTCCTGAAAAACATAGTCGGAGTCGCCTCGAACACTGGGCTTAAAATTGGTTAGAGAAAACAATTCGCTAGTATTCTGTGATTGATTTTTCTAATTGGCTGTGCTTGAACGAAATCATGAGCGATAGTGACAGCTTACAGGCCTTATTTATCTCGTGAGTACTCCAGATTATGCACTCTCTCCCAAAAAGTGTAAATAAGGTGAACGATGTTTGAACAGTAGTTACTGAAGAAACGTAAATGTTCTTAGATCTGAGAAGGCATTTGATACAGTGACTACCTAGCCACACAAACAGTCCAAAAGTCTTTGTAAAATGCAGCCACCAATTACTCATATTTCACGTGCAATAACCTGCATATTCCGAAGTATTTTATGGGCGAGGTATTTTATTTTTATTTTTGTTTCTTTTGTCATCGGCTTGGTTGAGTGACTGATTGAGTTCGGTTTTATAGTTTATCAAACTTTGTCAATTTATTTAAAACTAGAAAATATATTTTAGATTGCAAGAATTCAATAAGAAAGAATATAGTAATGCTTTTCTGATACACGTCCTACCAGTTAACCCATAGCTGGGAGGATAAGAGGTGGGTTCATATATTTCCGAAGGGTATTTGTGCGTAAGTGAATGTAACCAACCCACCTGGAATTGAACCTCTTCTCTCCAATTTTCCCATTCCGCGCTAATATCAATTATACCATCCAAACCTAGAGCAATTCGTATTCCCCAACGGTCATCAATCTTACTCCTGACCAAACACAACATTGCTTAACTTCGGTGATCATACATGAACTGGTGTTTCAGCTTTTTTCGCCGAAAGATTAATCAGATTGGGAAGCATTGTCAAACCTGTACTTCCGCTCATTCCATGTGTATATTTTTTAATCAGTTATTTGGAAAGTAATGTCCGATTTCACAATAAACATTTCCTGTTCTAATATGTTATTATAATAGCAGCATAATAATATATTATTTCTTCGTGATTCTAAACACCGTCTGTGTTTACTGTATACCAATCTCTATTAAAATTTAATTTAAAATATTATACATCCATTATATTGAACATGGAAACAAAAGATGATTGTACATTTTGCATGGGTTCAAGCTTAGTTAACATATTTCTCAAATTGCTACCAACATTCACAGAGCATGTGTGTGAATAATCCATTTGTGATTGGACATTACGGCTCTTCTTTCTGAAGATCCACCGTGGCGATACGAGTCTTGATGATCAAGGTGGCAGAGTTCGTCCATCTGCAACTGGCAATTAACATCTGAAGATACTATTCGAGCAATCTCCCCGTCTAAGTGTCCGTGAAATGTCTCCGAAAATGATGTCATCTTTTCAACAATATCGAATTATCTCAAAAGAATGGCGATGTGAAGAAACTCGATCAATCAATTCCATAAGAACTCGGTGAATAACGAAGCTTTCGAACTTTTGATGTATGTTTGATGCTGCCTCTGAGAAATTCGAATTATCCATTTATTGACCGAATAGTAAACTGTCATGAGAAATGGATCCTTTATGACAATCGTAAAAGATCAACTCAATGAATGAATTATGAAGTCCACAAACACTTTCGAAATCTTAACTTGGAATATTATGGTGACTGAGTGTTGATCGCCCATTGGCGTTATCCATTATGGCTTTCTGTAATGCAACCAGAGCATCACCTCAGAAGTTTAGTACCAACAAATGGATGAACTGCACATTCAGTTATACCAAATGTAACTGACAGATCTTAATCGACGATGTCCAACTCCTCTTCATGATAAAGCTCGGTCATATATTGCCAGTATGTCACTGCAGAAGCTTACCGACTTGGGATATAAGACTTGGCCCCATCAACCATAATGCCTTGATCTCTCGCTGACTTAACCTGCTTAAGCGTCTTGACAACGTAATATTGTAATATAATTTTGTAATATAATTTTATATAATACGTAATATAATTTTGTTGCAACGTAATATCTTTTGGCTTAAAAGCCAAAAGATATTACGTTGCAACAAAAAAATGCAGAAAATATAATAAAAGCTGCCTTGGCGTCTAAACATTTAGCGTTTTATCGTAATGACATAAATAAACGTTTGACTCAGTGGCAAATACAATAATAAATTTGACATTCATTTTAGAGCAACCTAATAATTTATAATAATGAGTGATGCAGTGATAGATTTCTGTTATAAAATGTACGATTTGTCATATTTTCTGTCAGCATCTCATTTGTAGTGACGCGATTTGTTTAAATGATCGCAGTCATGCTATAAACATTTTCCCCATATTTGCCCGCATTTCTCTGTACTTTTACTGTCTAATACTCTGAAATATGCGACATATTACGCCTCCAATATGGTCGGTGTTTCGTATATTATCTCGACGCAAGCTGCATGTAATCGAACGAATCATGACAACGAAGAACTGTCGCTAATGGCTTTAGTCGATATAAAGCCTCCTGCTGCTTGCTGCGGCATGAAATAAACACAAGCTGTTGGGGAACGACTTTTTATTTATCATGTAAAAGTCTGTTCATTCTCTTTCTTTAAGTATACTTCTTTCTTTCCGGGGTTTTAAGTCATTGTTATTACATTTCTCTCCGATTGTCCGTCTACCACATTTATAAAACGTTTTATTCATTTTTCAACATTTTTTCATTCTTTTTATTTGTACATTATTTCTTTAAGTTCACTTGTCATTTATATTAAAACGTTCTTTCATTTCTTTGACAAGTAATTGTGCCAACAAATTACGTATGTATTTCCATTTCACTTCCAAAGGAATTTTTTGTATCTAATTAATCAATTGTTCATTAAATAATTATTTTTCCTATCTCAATATTCGTCTTTCGTTGAAATAGAATTTACTGATTCTATTCTTCAACTATATTTCTTGTAGCATTTTGCTTTCTTTTTACTCCTGTGTTTTCTGTTTTTATACGAAGAAATGTATTCCAAACTTCTTTCCAATTAAATTTTCTTTCTTTCATTATGTCTTATTTGGATGGAGGTTGATATGTTAATTCTTTAACTGTTTTACTTGATATATTGTGTCCTCCATTTTTGCGGGTTTTTTTCTTATGGTGTGAGGGTAGTTTGTTTTTGTTCTTTCAAATTTTCATTCGGTCATTCATTCTTATTTCTTGTTTCGTTAATTTGTATAATGTTTTCTTTTTTCTTTTGTTTGTTTATTTTTTATTTTGGTTCTTTCATGCTTTCATACTTGCTTCTACTTTTGTTCGGTTTTCATTCTTCATTTTATTCTTTCTTTCTTTCTAGCTTCGTGGTCGTCTGGAAGTTCTTTCTTTCCTTTTTTGTACTTTTCCTTCGTATCCATTTTCTTTTTCTTTAGAAGCTTTCTCATTTTTGATTGGTTAATACATTCTTTTGTCATTATTACTCGCATCCGAGTCGGTTGCTAACTTACGTTTTTCTTCTTTCTTTCTCCTTTCCATCATTTTTTCTATCTTTCTTGCTTGTTTGTTTTTGATTTGAAATGTTTTCACTTCATTGTATTTCCTTTCCGCTTGGTTAGCATCTTCTTCCACTCATTGCTTCTTTTTTCTTTTTTTCTCTTTCCTTTATGTTAATTAATTTTTCATTTTTTTTATTTTTATGTTTCATTCATTACTTGTCTGGTTAGTTGATATTTTACTTTTTTTCAATTTCTTTTCTTTTCTCGTTTATTCCATTTATTCTTTTTATAGTTTTTCTTTAATTGCTTCTTATTTTAATTTATCCATTTTATATTTCTTTTTTTGATTGTATGGCACGATCTTTTGTTCTTTTTTTTCTTTCTTTCAATCTCTGTTTGTGTGTTTCTTTCTTTTTTCTTTCTGTTTGTTCATTTTTCCATCAAATGTTTCGTTCATTCGTTATTGCTTGTGTGTTTGGGTAGTATATTCTTTCATTCACTGTTTTTATTTTTCTTTCATACTTTTTTTTTCTTTTGTGTTTGGTTAGCAAACATTCTTCCTTCACATTTGTGTACTATTAGTACTTATGTCTTTCTTTCTTCATATTTGTCTGGTTGGCACATTGCATTCTTCGTTCTCACATTGTTATACTTTTCTTTCTTTCTTTTTCTTCAGTTTCTTCATTCTTTCTTTTTTACTTCTTCTCTTTCTTGAGATCTTTCTTTCTTGAGTTCTTGATTTTTTATCATTCTAATGTTTTGCTCTAATTTTCTTTATTAGTTATTTTATCTCGTTTTTAATCGTCTGCTTTATTAGCACATTCTTTCGTTCAATGCTTATTTTATCTCCCCGTCTTTTCATATTACGTTCCTTTGTTCTTTATTCGCATATTTTACTTCCTTTCTATTTGTGTTTCTTTCTAAGTTGTTTTCTTTTTCTTTTTTTTTTATATGTTTCTGGCATATGTTTCTTTTTTATACGTTTTCTTTCTATTTTCATTACATGGTTGGTCATTCATTTAGTTTGTACGTTTTTTCTTTACATTTTTTATATTAATTTCTTTCTTTATTTTCCTCCTTGCATGATATTTTGTACTCTTCTCTTTTAGGTAGGTTATTTCCTTTCTTTTTTTTGCATGAGAGATTCTGTAGTTTACATTTTGTTTCCATATATATATTTTCCATTTTTTTTTCTTTTTATTTTTATTCATTTTTCGTTCGTTTCCTTGTTTGTCTGTTTGATTCCTTTATATATTGACTCATAATTTCAACCTGTGAACAATATTTGCTTCAGATATTGTCCATATTCAACATCTTCTCTTCGTCAAATTCCGCTGTGACGCGTACAAATTCTCTTTTACACCGGCTTTCATTTAATCTTCCAAAAGTGAACGCAAACGTCTATTTTTGTTTCTCTTTTGTCTTATCTCACCTTTTTAGTCACTCTTATTTATTATTAACGTTAATTGTTTCAAAGTCACATTTCTCTTCCCCACCAAACCTAGACTCTTACTTAATTTTTATACTTTTCCCTTTTGCATCTCTTATCTTCCTGTTCACTGATTTCGTTCTCTTTTTTCTTCTTAATTTCCCTGAAAGATAATTACCCCCAGTAACCTATTAGCCGACTCAGCTTGTTATTTTGAACACAGATCAACGGTTTCAAACAAACAACAAAATAAAGTTCTGCAAGAAACTATTAGATGCCTTCAGGTAATATCTTGTTTTCGTTGCAATCCTTTGTTTATGAGATGCAGTCACATATTACGTTTATCATTATAAATATCAGTCGGGATTCCTTCTTCACGCCTACAGTCCAGTCTATCACAAAAGATAATACAGTTTTGGAGTGTTTTTTATGTTTATATCAGGATACTAATACATTAAGTCATACATGACGATAGCCTGCCAAAATATATATTGGTAATTACACTCACATGCAGACGCACTAAAACACACACATACAAAAGAAAACACACGCACTAAAACACACACACACATACAAAAGAAACACACACATACGCACATACACACACACACACATATATATATATATATATATATATATATATATATATATATATATATATATATATATATATTTATGCATCTATTTACAGATCTCAATTTAAAGTTGAATCAATTATTTTTAAATAAAAGTAAAAGTAACGTATCGATAGCAATATCGATATTCTCTGTCTCTTTTTTCTTTCTTATAATCTGCCGTGTCCTTTCAGGGCATGGGTGATCATGGCTCTCCACGATGTCCTATCCTTTGTGGTTTTTAATTAATTATGTAATTTTGTTCTCTTTTTTAAATCTTTTTCCTGTGATCATTTACACAAGCTCATTTTCCTTGTACAGTTTCTGTTCTGGGCGTTGGCGATCACGTCTCTCCACAATATCCTCCCCTTTGTAGCGCTTAGTAAATTTTGTCTTTTTACTATCTCTCATCATCTTTGTTCTGCATGCTCGATAGAAATTTTATTCACCGCAATCTATAGTCTCTCTTACTTTCTGTATGCCTCCTGAATATCAAAATTTCTATGCCCTATTTTTTTATTACGTGATTTAAAAATTCCACCTGTTACTTTTTGTTCTTATGTAAATATCTCTTTTTTTTGTTTTCATTTCTCTAAAACTCTGACGTTGGTCACATGTCCCATCCATCGTATCCTCAGCATCCTTCTGTAGAACTAGATTTCTATTGATTCAAGTCTCTTCTTGATCTCTGAGTAGATTTTCAGCATTCGCTTCCATATAGGAGGACCAATATTACATTATTCAAGGACTCTCTTGTTTGTTTCTAACGAAATTTTCCTTTTTCTTAATACTTTGTTTAACTTTTGTACGGCATCTTTCGCTATAATCCACTTAAACTTACATCCTTTGTTAAATATAATACTTATTTTAAGACATTTTTATGTTTATACATTCTTTTTATAGATACAAATATTTAAGTAAATGCTATGTTTATAATAAACAGTATTAAACAATATTTACCGGTCTGAATATCCGATAAATTTTCACAGAAAACATTTCATAATGTGTGACGTTATATAATACTCATGCCAACCATACTTCCACGGTTTGAAATTATCTATGATTCTTTTTTCTGCAGTCACCAACAGATGCGTGGCTACGTTCTCTTTTACCTCGTCCACATTCCGTCTTCGTTTCCTTACTGACACTTAGATTTTAAATATTCAGAAATCACGGATTCCTCATAGATCTGAAATTGGACTATGGACAGAAGTTTGTAGACAGATGTGATATTGTGCTTTTCCAAAATCAAAACAAATGCTCAAAAATCGAAGTCTGTTCAACTGACATATTCCAAAACTCAGGGGCACTTGACGCGGTGTAATGATTTGCAAGCTTGTTTCATTTGACCAATTACGACTGAGTGTCACAACTAATCTACGCTTAGTAAATCACCATATTCCAAATGCCTGGATACTTTTCTGGGATTAAAAAGAATTTCGTAAATCTTGAAGCACCAGTGGTCGATTTTCATGGTTGATAAAAAAAAAACCATGGGAAATCGACACTTGTTACAATCAAGCAAATCCAGAATCTTGATTTCAAAAGTAGATTCAAACTTTATTAGGTAATACAAGCAGAAGTTTAGAAATTATTAATACATTTAGGGACGGTGCACGATCATTTTCAGTGTCATATCAAGAAATAGCATAACGCTGAATCGTATTAAGGAAAAAAAAGCAGCTCTTATAGAAACCAGTGAGAAATAGCGGTTATTTCGTGGATTGTTTCATAAAATATGTGTGGCACCATGCATACCTGGCGAGCTGAAAGAAATATTCATAGATATATGATTTGTTTTTTTACGGTTTATCAACCATTTAATAATTATTTAAGGCCTAAAAATATTTTGTGTTTTGGGAATAATTCTTTCTTTACATTCAAGCGATCTGAGAGAAAGAAAGGAAAAACGAAGAAGAAAGAAAGAAAAAAAATAATCCGAAAACAGGTCATAGGCGAGCACACACACGCACGGCTGACAGATACCAGGTGTCGAAAAATTTCAGGTCAAGCATCTGACCGACTTCCGCGGAGTCCACGGAAAATGGAAGTTGTTATCAATTGGTTGTCACCCAAGAGGAAAAGAAGAAACGAAGTTTAGGGACAATGAAAATATTGATAAGTACCAAGGGAAGTGTGTCATTGGAATGATAGTAAAGGTCTAAGTGGGTGGGGAAGTGTATCTAAGGATATGAAGACAAACCATTAATACGAAAACACAGACAGTCTCCAGAATTAGAAAAAGCCCACACAAAGTGGTCACTGCAAAATCTTTTTGAGATAATAAAGATTTTTATTATCAGACATTCGAGCGGAGGGAAAATGAAATATTTTTATTCCGTTCAGAAACGCCAACGAGTCTGAGAAATTCCTTTCTTAGATCATATCCAATTAGAGTTAAACTGCTTGACAAATACAACGTGTTCAAAAGCCGAAGGTGTCATCTCAGTCGCTCATGATAAGGGCGATTTAAATTAATATTTTTGTTTTTTAAGCAAGGTGTTTCTTTCCCAAAACAAAGCCACGGATTGTCCACGCCCGACGTCATTGGCTAAATAAGATCACATGACACACGAAGGAGGAGGAAAGATACCCGACCAGGACCTCATTGGCCGAGAGCGGTCACATGACGCACGAGGAGAATCGGTCGACGCCCCTGTCAGAAGTGTAAGTGTAAGGAGCCGATACGAAGAAGCGGGGAAGCGGTCACACGCCCCTCAGAGGCACAGTAAGGGAGTGGGAGTGAGAGTGAGTTACCGAAAATGGAAAGAAAATGAAAAATCTCTAACCATAAATAAGAAGGGTGGATACGTATTTAGAATTATCGAAGAACCCCTGGTGCCGACAGACCCACCCCAGTTTTGACTGCATCAATAAAAGCGAGACCCCAACCGACAGAAATCAGAGTTTCAGCCGCGGACGGCAAGCGGAGTGGAACCGCGGACGGTGGACCGTGTTCGGTCGCCCACTTTGCGGGCAGGAGAGGCCAGTTCGTTTGGCCTAAGTGAAGAAGTTCGTCCGACCCAAGCCGAAGTGAAGAAGTTCGTCCGACCCAAGCCGAAGAGAAGAAGTTAGTTCGCGCACCGACGGCGGAGATGAGTGACCAGTAATTCAGAAGCCGAAGAGAAAAAGTTAGTTCGCGCACCGACGGCGGAGATGAGTGACCAGTAATTCAGAAGCCGAAGAGAAGAAGTTAGTTCGCGCACCGACGGCGGAGATGAGTGACCAGTAATTCAGTCTCCGGAGAGAAGAAGTTTGAGTTCAGCCGCGGACGGCGAAAGAGAAGTTTTGAACCTTGGACGACAAGCAGAGATGAGCGCCCAGTGTTGAAACCGCGTCAAGATAGCTGACCAAGATTCACGCACACTTCTGGACTCTTCTTCAACCAAGAACAAGTAGTTTGAAGAGCGACTTAGAATCAGACCTCAGAAATAAGTTTTTTTCGACTTTCGTCCAAAGACACACCGAAACACAAATTTCTTAGAGAGCAGACAACTTGAAGTTTTAAAGTTGCCTAGTAAAAGCGTCGTGCCACAATCCACAGAACGGGTCGGGAAGTAGACATAGTCCTATGTACCGAGCAATTAGACATAAAAAGTTTGTTATCTTTTTCTTTGATACGTTGGACCTTGTGAGTTTTTATTTTATTTTCTTTTATACATAATTGTGTGTTATCACCCCCGTTGGACTCAACTTGCATTACGGCCCCAACCCTGTTTGATCTCGTCTGTCTAAGATCAATTCACAACGTGGGTAGGCAGACTGAAGATCAGTGCAGTTACCCTGGTAACCAGGCGTTGGAAGCGGGTTGGGAACGGCGAGGCTGGTATCAATCTAACCAAAGGGTTAGAACGTCACGTTTGGTGCAGCGAGGAGCGAACAGCTGACGCCGCGGCGAAGACGTCACAGTTGGTGCTGTCCGTGACCAGGATATCAGAGCCTGGGGAGCACGCGAAGTCACAATTGGCGCCGCGACCGGGATCGAACGACACAGTCGACGCTGCGACCGGGGGACGACGTCACATATGTCTGTATGATTATAAAATATGAACTCAGAATAATAAGC